TGCGGGCCCGGGCCTGGCCGCCACCTGCTCCCTCCCGGAGGACCATGGAAGGGAGCCGGCTGGGAAGGGGAGGTGAGTTCAGAAAGATAAACAGGACAGGTGCGTGTGCGCGTGCGTGTGCGCGTGCGAGACAGACAGGAGGGGAGGCTGAGAAAGCTGTCCACCTCCTGCCAGTCGCCTGGCCCCGTAGTCTCTTTCCAGACACTCATTTTCCCGACATCTCAGTCCTTTTTATTTTTAATTAAAAAGATAAAAACCCAAGAGCCCAAGCCCCTGTTGGTTAGGGGGCTTAGAAGGCCCTTCTGAGCTGGAGCAATGGCAGAAATAACTCAGGGGTCTCTGTCCACGCGCGTCTTCCCCGTCCTCGGTGGACTGGCTGGGTGGGCCAGCCTCTCTGGGTCTCTGCCTGTCTCTCTCCCACTCTCCAAGCCAACTCGCGCCCCTCCCCACCTCAGCTCAGGCCCACTGGGACTGCCAGGGCCATGTTTCCTGTTTCCCAATCAGCTTGAGCAGGCCAAGGTCAAAGGGGACCTCGGCAGACACTCCCTCCCCACCCCCAGACACAACGGGGAGGCTGGGATCCCAGATGCCAGGTCCCAATTCTGACTGCACTGAGGGTGGGATGGGGGCGGGGCACACAGAAGAGCTTTGCATCTTTAATTAAAAAGTGATTTAAATTAATTTTCTGCTCCAAAACCCCTATCTGGGGGCAGCATGCAAGGCGGTGATTAAAGACTCTCCAGGTCCAGCTCTTCCGCCTGCCTTAAAGGGCCAGTCACCGCAGGATGGTTCTGCCAGGGAACTGCTTGGGGAGCACGCTGCCACTGCCCCTGTCCCTGCCGTGTGGGAACCCCCAGACCCAGCCAAGACCCTTGGAGTCCTGGCACCTTTAGTTCAGCTTTTTCTCCATGATTGACCCCAGCTCTGGCGGCCAGCCCATTACCCACCCTGCAGACCGGGAGATCAAGGCCCACAGAGGGAGGGCCTGTCTGAGTTGGGTCCGGACTCTGGATTTCTAAAGGAGACCCCTGGAGGCAGCCCAGGTGAAGGTCAGTGGTGTCCAGCACTGAGAATCAGGGAGGAAGAGAGGGAGGAAGAAAGCCAGAGACAGGGTTGGGTGGGGGCAGGTGGTGTGCAGGTTAAGGAGGCTGAATCCCACATGGCCAACTGTGCAGTTCTAGAAGAACATGCCAGGTATGTTTGTGTGTATGCCCAAAATCCTGAGCAGAGGGGCCAGCAGATGGCATAATCATTACATTGCTGGACTCCCACGTAGCTGGCAGTGGTTTGAGACCCAGACCCGGTGGCTTAAAACTCATGCTGGGTGCATGTGTGTGTGTGTGTGCCCAAAATCCCAAGAGGAGAATGGAGACGGGATTGTGGTGTGGCCATCCCCCTCGAGGATCAGGAGGTGATTTCTTACTTTCTGTCTCTCTGTCTCTCCAGTGAGCACACATGCCCTATAGCCAAAATCTCTCTCTTAAAAAAACAAGCAAGATAAAATCCTGAGGCTGGGAGGGAAGGAACTGCGGCCTGGTCATCCGCCCCGGGGGTGCTTTCTCATTTTCCCTCTTTCTGTCTCCCTTTGGTGAGGATATGAGTCCTCTAGCAAACTTTTTTAAAAAAAGAAAATACTATCGGGACCAGCAGTTAGCATAATGGCTATGTGGCTGGATTCCCATGTAGTTGACCGCGGTTTTCGTCCCGGACCTGGTGGCTTAAACTCACGCTGGGCGCGTGTGCGTGCGTGCCCAAGATCCCGAGAGGAGAATGGAGGAGAAGGGATTGCGGCGTGGCCATCCCCCCTGGGGGGTGATTTCTCGTTTCTGTCTCTCTGTCTCTCTCTGTCTGTCTGGCGAGCACCCGCGCCCTATAGC